TGCATTATCTACTTCACTAAAACAAGAAATATGAGATATATTTTTTCTTAAAGTATTTTAATAGAACAATGGATCAAAGCCAAGTATTTGAGAAAAGAATTTACTTCACAATCACCAGTACAATATATATCGGGACAAATGAGTGGAATTTTGATGAAGAAAGGGAAGGATGATAAAAAGTTTGTTTATTATTATATTTCTATGATAGGTTCATAAAATTATATAAATAATTTTCTATTTGTTTTTTCATTTAGCCTTATTCCATATATATACAGTGGTACCCCGACATAAGAGTTTAATTTGTAAACCATGCTTGTATGTCAAATTGCTCATATCTCAAAGCAGTTTTCCCCATATAATGCCATTCATTCGCTCTAGCACTTTGGGTTTTGTTAAAGTTTTTTAATATTAAAAAAAAATTTACTATTTGTTTTTCCTGTCATTCATGATATTGCAAAATGAGTTAGAGAAGTTTCATTGAACAAATACCATGCTCGAATTATTGCAACTTTTCTGGAGTGATATAAACAAACTTTTAGAGTTTAGAAATCTGCTTATGAATTATTGTAAGGCCCTTAGCTATAGTTTTAGCCATTATGAACTCCGCCTGTTTAAACACAGTGCATATCTGTGATGTGTTACGCTTGTACATTCTCATATTTTACAATAATTTCACACTTTAATTCAAGAGACTTGGCCCTTTGGACACGTGAATATAAAAGTACCTAATATTTTATACGAAAAAAAATTGAACTCAACATATATAACTATACAATTATTATAATAGTATTATGGAAAATAGTTATATATATATAAAATATAAACTCCATTTGTATAAAAATATAAACAATTTATTGATTATAAAATTTCATAAAATGACAAGTGATTTTGTTTTCTCTCCAATCTCCAGCTTGCTCGATTTCCCACAGTATAATGTATAGTTAAAATTTCAAAAATTATAATAATTGATATTACAATTTATATGTAATTGAAATTACTAACTATAACATAATGAACTGTAATAAAACAGCAAAGTTTTTCTATAGTAGGATAATCATTGTTACAAATAATGAAATTTTTCGTATGTCGAAGCAACAAATCGCTCATGAGGCGACTCGTATCTTAAAACACTCGTATATTAAGTCGTAAGTCAGGGTACCACTTTGGTATATGCACTTACTATTAAAACGTTTGAATTGAATATTTCATATTACTTTTTTTTTGCTGATTTTGACTTCTTATAATATAATTTCAAATCAAAGGTATCATCCAAGAAAATTTGTGCTTAACGAACAAGATGACACACTAAGATACTACATAAAAGAACATAAAGATCCCAAAGCAATTTTACGCATATCAGAAATCAACATAGCGCTAGCCCCTCAAAAATTCAATCATAATAATTCTATGCAAATATCGTTCATGAAAGATGAAACAACTCGCCACATATATGTTTACCACAACGATTCAGAAGTTTTGATTAACTGGTAAATATGATTAATCAATAAGAATTAATCAATTGATAAATATGTAAATCATAATTAATTGAGATAATTAATTTCAAGGTACACAGCTATAAGATGTGCAAAGTTGCATAGATTAGAGATTGCTTTTCCAAGTATGAGGGAGAACGATCTGCTTGAACATTTAACTGATGATTTCCTTAAAGAAGGCTGGTTATGGAAAACTGGCCCTAAAGTATCTGATTCATATAAAAAGCGATGGTTTACTTTAGATGGTCGAAAACTTATGTATCATGATGATATGTTTGATGCTCATCCTAAAGGCGAAATTTTTATTGGTTTGTGAAAACTATTTTTGTATGTACATCTATTAACCCTTACCGCTCAGCGCTGATTCAAAAACAATCACCCGCGACTCGGAATCTGACGAAAACGTATCTGCTGTAAACTTGATATTATTGTGTATGTATGCAATTTAATTTATATGAATTTGTGGGCATTGAAGAACGTACATGTACAATAATATCTAAATTTATTTTAAAGCAACTTCCAATAGACAAAGCGGCAGTGTCGTTATAAATACTTAGTGTTGTGATAGTTTTTTCTCATTCCACAGAAAAGTGTAATACATATATCGTTTTTTATATATCTGTCTTTTGTGATTAAAATTTTGCTTTACAAGTTTGTCAATCGTTTTTCCATATTTACAAGAAAAATTGTATAATAAAACTAGTGGTGTTTGGCATCGTGCCTTAAGGCAAGTTGCAGAAGCTTCCAGTGCCATTTTTTTAAAGATTAATTTTTTAAAAAATTACTGCTTTAGCTGCACTGTTTTAGCTGCATAGAGATAAAATATCGAAGCGCGTAAGCGCCGCCCATAGAAATATAAAGAAAATTGATAATCATTATTAAAATCTCCATAAAATATCTGATAATTTGATGTGCATATGTCTAATGATCATTTTTGGCTGCCGTAGTGTAAGTTATTGTAGTCGCCCAAAAATCGGAATTGAAAATTTTTACATTCTCGACATTTTGAAGGTTTCTGAACATTTTGGCATAAATGAGAAAAAATGGATGTGTGTGTGTTTTTTTTTTGTACAGTGAAGGAAATGCCTTTATGCATCCCAGACTGATGTGTTTTTTTTGTATGCCTTTATGCATCCCAGACTGGAAAAGGGAGGTTTTAGTCGGTATTATACCAGGGCGGTATTTAGTCCGACATACCCAGACTGGTGTGTGTGTGTGTCTGTGTGTGTATGTATGTATGTATGGATACAATTTTTCGGTCACGTTTTCGGGCGCACGGATCAACCTATTTGAATGGTTCAAAAAACATTCGATTCCTATTGATAGGGAGATGTGCTGATTAGTTTTTGACAAAGGCAGGTCCAACAGTTACGGAGATAAAGAGCAAGGAGTGCAGAAAATAGAAATCGAGTTTTTGAGAGAACGGAGTACCGATTTGAAAGATCTAAAAAACATTCAATTAGTAGGCCCAGCCATTTCGAAGATAACAGAGCTAAATATTAAAAAAATGGCAGATTCAAAGAACTTTCTGCTTGTTTTAACAAAATAATTGATTTTGGAAAAAAAATTGTTTCAAAATAATTTTTTTTTTTCAAAAAAAATTTTTTTGATTATTGAAAATAAATCAGATTTTATTTTTAATTCTGACTAAAGTTCTAAATAACAAATAATTTCAACTTTGCAATTCAGTTTATATAGTTCTTATAAATATTAGACAATGTTACAATATTTATATTTATAATAATCTATTTGAAAACATTCGGTATTCCTCAAACATTTCGTTACGGTACGGGAAGTACCAGCAATTTGCTTAAGGCACGATGCCATACACCCCACTAGTTTTTTTTTACTTTTTTCACTAGATCTCCGAAACCTTGCCATCCCAAAAATGTAATCAGTTCTTCATCTTATCAATACACGTATTATAAAATGTTTTTTGAATTATTGAAATCGTTCCGTTCTCTTCAAAATTGAGTTACCGTTTTTGGCACTTTTTGCCCCGTATCTTCGGAACGGCTAGAGCTGCCTTTGGCAAAAACCAATCAGCACGTCTCCTTATCAATACGAATCGAATGCTTTTTGAATTATTCAAATCGGTTGATCGGTGTTCCCGAAATCGTCGCCGAAAATTTGTATCCGCACACACACACATATCCATTTTTTCTAAGGTATGCCAAAATGTTTAAAAACCTTTTAAAGGTAAAGATAAATAAAAATTTGCATTTTCGATTTTTTGCGATTTCTATAACTTACCCTACTGGACAAATAAATAATAGTAAACTTTGAAAAGAGGGCCTCGGTCTTATGACTGCATAAGTTTATTATAAGAATGAGCAACCTTTCTAAATCACAGGTCTTATTTAATTTTTAAAATTAGATCATTTATTAATGACAAAGCTTTAATTAAATAAAAAAGAAATCATAAGAAAAGAATAAATTATAATTAATTTACTGATGGGAGAAAGTTGTTAAAATAGATAAAATTCTATTTAGAAATGCTTGGTGAATTGCAGAAAAATATTTAAAGGGCCTCATGAAGCCCGCTGGTTGCTCATTCTTGATCTATTCTATTCGACACTTTACATTTATACGAGTCATTGTATATACAAACTGCCGAGTGTCAAAGAGTCAGCCTAGAGATAAGCTAGACTTATGTTGTCTCCTCAGGAAGACAGCCGAGTGGAAAGGGTTAATGAACAGCTGATATGACAGAGTTGATACCTATACACTAGATAACCTTTGCTTTTGGTGTAAGCACTTATTATTGTTTTAAAACATGTTGCATATAAGTGAATTTAAAAATTTCCTTTTAGGCTCTACTTAAAAATTTAACTAAAGATTTTACAACAGGTAACATGTTACAAGGCTATAGTGTAAGAATAGGTTCGAGTGATGGGGTTCAAGAGCAAGACTTCACTTTCACTTTAAGAACTCCTGATAGAACATACAATTTATCATCCACAAGTGAAGCCGATAGAGATGAATGGATATCACAATTATCTCATATTATTGAAAAGCCCATGAGTAATCGGGATTTTGCTCGTAAGATTTTCAAGAGTAAATCTATTAAAAAAGACATTTTTCAAAGAATTAATACAAGATTTGTTTTTTAGTTGCTGGTAAATTCGTTGGTAGAAGTCGTTTCTTGTAATCTGAATAGTGTATTTTCCCCCACAAGTTATGTGAGAAAAATGAGAGATTATTTAAATAGATTGTCATTAATATGATTTCATATGTCAATAGTATATATATATATAATATAATTTTTATTAATATATATATTAATATATATTAATATAATTAATAATTTACTTATTAGGCATATTTATAATCTAAATTGCCATAATCACATCCCACTGCCAGTAGGTTGGAATATAATCTGAAGAAATTTGTATAATGCACACAAATTATTTAAAAAACTATAATAATATTATCGAGAGTATTTTAAAGAAATAGATATTTATCAAAATAATATTTATTATATACAAAATAGATAAAAATTAATGGTTACCTTAAACCCTTCTTAAATTTTTGAAATCTTGAGTTTAAACTTATCTGGTTTATTAAATTTGTAATTTCTTTAATTTTAGATGGAGATTTTTCACCAGGGTTTGTTAGAAATGATAAAGTTTTAAGTAGCTGAAGTCGCCTTACTAATACAGATTTATAATGATTATTGCTTATTCTCCATTGTTTTAATGTGATTTCAATTAGCCGTAGAATTTCTCTTTGAAGCTCAAACCAACAAGTCATATGCTGATCGGACATCTGAAAGAGAAGATGTTTTATTCAAACAATTTTTACCAATGAAATTTTTGTACAACTATAGATCGTACAGAAGATCATAATGACTTGTAAAAATGTGAATATGAATAAATATGGTTAACTTTGCCAGAAATATCCGGTTGACAACTAAGTAAATGTGGATTTTTGTGGAAAAAAATTAATCAAATACAATTTGACATCATCATAATCATTGAATTGTTTACCATTCATGGAGCTTTTGTGAAGATCAGAACAAAAAGAAATCAGAAGTTCCAAGGTCAAAACTGTATGGTGAATGTGGCAAAATATTAGACATAAAAATCGATCGTCTTACATGCTTTTTTACCTTTGCAGAAATAAAAAAAGGAAAATATGACAAATTTTCGATTTGATTTTCCATCTTTCAACGAACACGAAATAAAAGCTGCGCGATCGATCAAAAAACTATTTTACATATTGATGGCTAATTGCCTTAGAATTACGAATCCGAAAGGTATTTTACATTTGGAATACATCATCAAACCTAAAAATTCTATTAAAACCATTTAAGCTAAAAACCGCTTACTTACTTAGTTGCCAATCTAATATGTATATTATATTTTGTGTGTGTGTTTATTTATACATACCTTATATGTCCCAATACAAACTTTTATCATAACCTCCAGTCTTACAACATTATTTAGATTAGACAATATAAAGCTTAAAACATTTGAAGCAGTTATATCCAAAGAATGGGGAAATGTCAAACTTTCTGATTTACTAAAAAAATTATAATAAATTAATATATTAATAGACCTATAAGCAAATGAATAAAATATAATTATGTTACTGAGAATCTTATTTTTATATATGCAATTATATTTTTTATAAATATATATATATAAACAGATAAATTTTAAATGTATTTATCATTTCTATACCTTTCCGGAAATATTGTGATCGTCGGTAAATCATCCATGGTGAGTTGCCATGGTACATCATTGTAATCCATATCAATTCTCACAAACGATATCTTAGAAATCGATTTCAATAAATGACTTACATATAAAAAAATATGCCATGCATACTGGCAAAATCCACAAAATGGGCTGTAGTATAATACCACTACTGTCTAAAAATATGTTCAAAATTGTTGAATTAAGTGAAAACGAAGTGATATATGGGAGTGAATCAAAAAGTCCTCAATATTATTTATTAAATTAAATTTATTGATATACAGGAGTACCCTGACATACGAGTGTCCTGACATATGGGCGTTTTGAAATACGAGCCGACAAAGAAATGATTCGTTAGCTTCGAATGATGAGCAAAACTTGAGATACGAGCTTTGAGCGAGTAAGAGTTGTTTAGAAAAATATTAATGTCAAAATGAAAATATGAATAATTTCGTCAGTTGTAGCAATGATTTTCTATTTCCATGTAAAGATTATTGTGTTATTTAGTATAATAATAATATAATAACATAATATTGAAGCTAATATTATAGTCAATTATTTTATAATTTATAATTTATTTTATAGTTAATTCCAATATGCATTAGTATTAATTATGTAGTAATGATATAACCACGCAAATATACGGTGAGTTATTTTAACATCTGAAATGTTGGCTATACGTTAATAGTGATTTAGTCTAAGAGCCAGTGAACTATTTGACTAACCTGTTTTCACAAAGCCAGAAATTTTTTTAATGATATTTTATTATCGGCCCATTAAGAAAATACCATTCTGGCAGTCATTCCGCGGTTGCGTCATTATCCCTTCAATTTGTGAAAATGTAAAAAAAAAAATTTCTATAACTTGCTCGCACAAGGCTCAAATTTTGAGGGTGTCTTCTTTTAAATGTTCAGAAAGCATATGTAAGAAGCCAGCCCATTCTGACGGTTGCAAGGGTCTGCCAGACGAGTACATAATAGTCATGACGCACAAGGGTGTGGGCGCATTGCATATAAATTGACTAATACCCTTGTATTTGAATAATTTACACGCCATTTTGAAGGTCATTTTGAAAACATCCGTTATACCAAACTTCAACTTTGTATCTCACCTTATGGCCGAGATATCATTGAAAATATGCCAAAGTGGCCCCTTTTTCAAAACTCAATTTTTGGCGTAAACATAAAAATATCGAAAAAAAAAATTACGTGATTCTACTCATATTGGCTTAAACCATATAATGTATAGTAATATATGCTAAATAATCCTTTATTATTAGCTAAAAAGGATAAAATAATTTTTCAATTAATGTTTTCGGATAGGGCGTTTTGTTTAATTACTTTATTATTAGCGTTATTTAAAAGCTTATTGTTTTCTCTTTTAGTACTGCAAATATGGTTTAAATCAAATTTGTGGAACACATTGAAAAATTGAAGAAACCAGAACCAGTACACCCGCGCGTAACGCATCGCACATCCGACCGAACGAATTCTATGCGGGCTACTATTAGCGTTACGCGCGGTTTGTACTGGTTCTGGTTTCTTCAATTTTTCAATGTGTTCCACAAATTTGATTTAAATCATATTTGCAGTACTAAAAGAGAAAACAATAAGCTTTTGAATAACGCTAATTATAAAGTAATTAAACAAAACGCACTATCAAAATATCATCAAAACAATATTAAATAGTAAATTTATTTGCAATATTCAAATAAATTAACAAAACCATAGTGCTGGAACGAGATAATGGCATTTCAATATATTTATATGCGAAAAATGGCATCGAGATACGAGCGATTCGACACACGAGCGTGGTTACAGAAAGAATTACTTGTATGCCAGGGTACTGTAGCTTAAACTGTTTTAATTAAATTAATTAAATTTGAACTTGACAGAAAAGTTTCAAAACTATTTATTTTACTTATATCATATTTCAAATATTATGTTTTAAGAGATAAACTTACTTTATTCTGATTCATCACTTGGGGAATGAATGTATTGGAGCTCAGTTCAGCAACAGATACTATTCCCAAATTTCTATCATATTGCTTCATACTTTGGTATACATTTTTCTCAGTACTATATTTATGAGTATACTGACTAGTCTTTGAATTGTCTCGGAATGATCGATTCTCAAAAATTTATACTATGTTCCCAAATAAATTTCTTAACACTTGATGGGTGACCTTTTCTTTTAAGATGCTTGATATTCCATCTGTAAAGATCATAACTTGTTTGTAAATGCCTTATCAAGTCCTTATTACTTAACAATAAAAAATCAATAAAAAAAATTTGTAGAACAAATGTCTACAAAAAGTAAACACTGAAATACAGTTACAAATTAAATAAAGCACATATATGTTGTGGTTAATAATTATAGTATAACTGCAATAGATATTAATATGCAAACTAAGAATTTAAATAACTTGAAGTACAATGAAGGACCATGTAAATGGCAACTAAAATCCAATGTTAAGTTAATCAGATTTTACTTGATTGATCAACTTGTATCAAGCCGCGAAATATTTACTGCGATGAAATATGTATGAACACAAATTTTCATAAATATAGAAATAATGTTTTAATTTAATTCAATATTATAATAATATAAAAAATAATAATAATAAATATAAAAAATAAATCATGAATTAAATCATGCGAGCCACCCGACATCAATACGCTTAAATGTATCACCCGACTCCAATCGGCTTTATATGAATTTAACCGCATTCATTGACTAACAATAGCATCCGACTTGAAGTCGGAATGATTCGGTTTGAGCGATAAGACTTCAATCGACTTCATATGACTCAAACCAAATCATTGCGACTTCAATCGACTTCATATGACTCAAACCGAATCATTCCGATCATTCATGTGGTTTGAGAGATAGGACTTCAAACGACTTCATTTGACTCAAACCGAATCAATCCGACTTCAAGCGTTTGAGCGATATGACTCCAAGCGACATGAGTTCGAAACAGATACAATGCGTCGTCGTTCTTGCG